CTAGACCATCAACCCTGAACCCTAAACCCTAAAGCCCAAACCCCAAATCCTGAAACCTAAACCCTGAAGCCTAAACCCTGAAACCTAAAACCCAAATCCAGAAACCTAAATCCTGAAACCTAAACCCTAAATCCGGAAACCTAAATCCTGAAACCTAAACCCTAAATCCTGCAACCTAAACCTTGAAACCAAAACCCTAAATCCTGAAACCTAAACCTTGAAACCTAGCCCTAAACCCTAAACCCTGAAACCTGAAACCTGGTCCCTAAACATGCCCCTTGGCTCTACGAGTCTGTGTGACCTTAGACCTGTCGACCCCGGAGCCCTAAAGTTGCCAAAAAAGGGTCTCGGGTTTAGGGTCTAAGGTACCTGGACCCCAAAAGTATGTAAAATAATGGCCTTTACGGCTGATATTATGGGCTTAGGGCTATTATTTTACATAAGGTTTAGGTTTACGGTTTAGGTTTAGGGTCCAAGGTACAGGAGGTGAGGATTTAGGAGTACACTGGGTTATTGGTTTCATGGGATTTTTGGCAGTGAGGTTCTAGGGTGCATATGAAGACGATCAGGTATGGGATTTATGGGGTTCGGATCTAGATTCGCTGTAGAAGTAGAATTCTAAGTTACAAGTCCTTTGAATTGGGTTATGCTTCTACTTGCCCCCCAGCCCCAACTGACCACCCTAGACCCTATAGTCCCTCTTAAGCAGATAGAATATGGGATATATGGTGTCGTGTCCCGTGTCGACAGCCCCCCCGCCCATCCCCCCCCACCCCCCCCCCATGGTATGGTCCCCTAACCGCCAGCCCCGCACTCGCAAAAATGTGAACAGGCACAGGAATGGTGGGTGCTGTCCTCGTTTTTGAGGCCTCGGACCTGCCATTCTCGTAACTGTCAGCGTTTTTTGATGTCAAGGATCTCAAAAGTGCCAACAGTCGCAAGGATCGTGGGTGTGAGGTCACAATCCTCGTAACTGTCACCGTTTTTCCTGTCGCAGATGTCAAAAGATCTTAAAAGTGCCAACAGTGACAGGGATGGTGGGCGTCCTACTCACAATCCCCGTAACTGTCACCATTTTTGATGTCGCAAATGTTGAAAGTGACAACACTTGGCGGGTGTCCTACTCACGATCCACGAATTGTCGTTGCTTTTGATGTTGCAGATCCCCAAACTGCCAACAATCACAGGGATGGTGCATGTACCCCACCACCCAGACCACAGGGGGCAGGGGAAAGATCTGAATGACTTGGCGCGAATGGTGACAGTCACTTACCAGAATGCTGGCATCTGTGGGGCCTTGTACCAATACCATACCATTGGGGGAGGGGGGAAGGGGGGCCGGCCAGCACTGCACCATATATGGGCATCTTATTAAAATACACCCAAAGCCATATTCTATCTACGTAAGGGGACTATAAACCCTATAGACCGAGCCTCCAAGAAAACCTGATGACTCGACTTTGTCAGCCTTTCTTCCGTAGATCGACTATTGAAATCGGGCACTATGGTATAGTCCCCCTTAAGTAGATAGAATCTGGGGTCATATATTGGGATAATGGAACAGAAGATGGAAAGTACAATTTAGGATTTAGGGTTCTGTAAGCTGTAAGCGCTTCATCTTAGTCTAGGAGGCTAAATTGAAGCTGTAATCCCTATCTACAGGAAACTCCTACAAAACCAAGAGCCCAGTCATGGGATAACTTGCTTTGGACTCGCTACCCTAGACTCTGCTGTCGGCACATATCCGTATAAGACTTTCCATATGGTGGTTGCTCAAAATACTTGTCCCCAAAATGACCATAATGTAGGTACCCTGTTTGGTTAGGATCCCCTTTTAAGGAAGTGTATTCCCAACGGTCCCTTTTTTACAAGGACCTTTAGGACAACCCACATATCCTTCGTAGTGGCTTCCAAAGAACCACGTGGCGTGCCTTTTTTGGCAGGCCCCGTCACGAAGAGCAAAATATTCGGAAGCCTTGAACCATGAAATCTAAGCCCTGAAGCCTAAGACCCTAAGCCCTGAGACCAAAAAGTCATTAGCTTCAAATCCTGAGCCCTCGCAGCCCTAAGCCTCGAAGCTTGCACCCTAAGCCCTGAATCCTGAACACCAAACCTTGAGCCCTAAACCCTGAATCCAGGACCCTAAACTTTAAGCCCTCGAAGCCCTAAACCCTGAATCCTAAGCCAAATCCTAAACCCAAATCCTAAACCCTGAACCTTAGACTCAAAACTCCAAACCTTAAGCCCCAAGCCCTAAACCCTGAAGCCTAAACCCTGAACCTTAGACTTTTCTCAGCCTCCAAGGCCGCGTTTACCTCCGTCTCGCGGCGGAAGGAAGCCTCAGCGCTTAGGAAAGCTGAAGACATCTCAGCAGCATGTTTTTGGTGGTCGGACCCAGTAAGATTACGTTATTTATATGAAATATTCTACCCAGAAGGAGAATATGATCCTACCTTTTTTGAAGTATAGTATCTCCAAATACAATTCTACCCAAATGGAGGTTCTCAAAAAGAGGCCCTATTAGGGACGCTGGAGTTATAGAACTAAATCACAAACATCTTCCGCCACAATCATCTTACAGTGCCAAAGGAAAATGTTGGATGCAGATAGGGGTGGGGGGTGGTAATGGTAACCATGGGGGCAAAGATTGGATCCCCAGGGAACCGAATAACCTACTTGCAGATTTTGGTGCCAAGACTAGGTATTATTTGTAGACTTCTAAACCCTATATAAACCCAAAACCCCTAGTCGTCGTGCAGGGACCGGCCTCCAATGTCGAAGCTCGATTGGAAGCTTCCTGCGCCTGCCAGATACAGATTTAGGATTTAGGGTTTAGGGTTTAGGATTTAGGGTTTAGGGCTTAGAGTTTGCATTGGCAGCTTCTCTGCGAAATTTGAACCCCAGGTACTCCTCACCCCAACTCCAAACCGCCAGCCCCTAAACCAAGTAAACCTTGAGCTCAAACCCCCAAGACCACTCATATCCCTGTAGCATCCGTTTAAAGCGAGCCTAAACATTGCCCAAAGCCCTCCACCCCACCACCCACCCCCGTTAATGGTGATTACTAGGGAAGAAGGACATACAATCCGTGTGTAATCCCTATATGTTATACTCCATACTCAAACCCTAAGCCTTAAACCCTAAGCCTTAAACATATCATGTATTCCCTTACACCCTCCGCACCTCATTGTGCAGCGCCGCCGCTTCTGCCTTTGCTTGCGCCGCAGTGCGCTGCTCCTCTTCTAGCTCAGCCTTAGCTGTCCCAACTTTGGGTTGAGGGTTTAGGGTTTCGTGTTTCGGCTTTATGAGAATCTGATCCTGCTCATGTTGGGCTTGCGGGTTTCAGAGCTTTGTCTGCCAGACGCAGTGAAAAAATACTGAAGGGGTTTGGGGCTTAGGGTTTAGGGTTTAGGGGGAGTCTGGGAAGCACTTTAGGCTACGACATTCAATGTTTCAGCATGAGGCGCCAGAGGGTTCAGTGAGATTGTGACAACTGAAACCTTCAACAACGAACGCCCTTTCAGGCTCTATCTTTGCTTACAGGATGATGAAATCTAGATGTTGGACTTTGGGGCTGGAGCATCTGTAAACCCTGTAAGACACAACCACCAGCACCCATCCTTCGGGTTGGGGTGAAGGGATTCGAGTGTAGGGTTAACGGCTTAGGGCTCAGGGTTTAGGGTTCAGGACTCAGGTATAGCCTTTAAGGCCCCCAGGACAAGGAATGCATCTTTGAACGATTGTTATGCTGAATGCACTTTTGGATTTGCAACTAGTACGGGCAATCTAGGAACCCTGAGAAATGTGGGCACCTGAAAGGGATTGACAAAAGTATTCTCTGGGGATCAGTCTGAGAAACTCCCATAAGTTTTGTCAAATAACTGCTACTTCGCCCCTACATACATGCCTCTGGAATCCCATTGGGTCAGAATTTCCTTGGGCAGAGACCTCCACCCAGGAGCCTATACCCTGAACGCTAAACAGTCAATCTTATCGCAGACGAGCAGCGCGGAGCTTCTCGCACTGTCGCCGATCCTGCTTTGTAGCCTCAGGTTTTAATTAGGAGTTACAATAGTACCCCCCCCCCCAGATTTAGAACCGTATGAGGCTTTCTTAAGCCCTACATAGTCCTTACTAGCTCCTGAAACCCTGGGGGGGTACCTTTAGGGGGGGGAGGTACTATTGCAATCCCTTATTTGGGGTTTAGGGTTTATGGTTTACTAAACCCTAAACCCTAAACCCTAAACCCTAAACCGCTAGGCCAAAGTTTAGGGCTCACGCTTTGGAGCCTGTTTGGACCTGATGGAACTTGTGCCGCAAAAAGGTGAAATTTGGGCTTTTTCCAGAAATCTACGGCCGTGAACCCTTCATCCAGCCCCAAAATGGCTGAAGGTTGGCGATTGAGGCTTAGGGTATAGGCGCTAGAGTTTCAGGTTTTGGGTCCACAGGGTTTGGGCTTTTCAGGTGCGATGCAGGAATTCAATCACTCAGCACTGAACGAACCATATCTTGATGGGTTTAGGGTTTAGGGCGGTCCGCATGAATGATATGGCCTCTAATTTCTGGGTTGCTGTTAAGGAACTTAATTTAAGTTACTAGAATGGGGAAACCCTATTATTTACTACTTATACCCATTAGGGTAACTTAATTTAAGTTCCTTAACAGCAACCCAGACTTTCAGGGTACACACAAAGGACCTTGACTTCGACTCAGGGTTGCAAGGTTTGGTGGGGGGCGCCTTTTTAGGGTTTAGGGCTTGGGGTTTAATCTATTTTGTGCGGACCTCCCGAATAGGAACCTCTAATTTCGGGAAGCATCTTGAAAGCAGCCAAGGTTTAGGGTTAGGGTTTAGGAGGTAAGTTCAGATTTAAGGTTCGGGTTTAAGGTTCGGGGTACTAGCCGTGACACAGAACAGGTACCTGGGAAAGAATGACATGGAAACTGGGCTTATACTGGGGTTGCATAATGCAATGTCGGGGCCTAAATACGCATGGAGTGAATATTGAGGTCTGTTTGAGTTACGCCATACCTGACTGGTAAAAAGAATCTGGAACCATAATCTTGAAAATGACATGGGGGGCATGATGTCAAAACTGTCGCGCTGGCTAGATGCGCCAACTGCTTGCACACAGGAAAGCGTTGCCACAGCGAAGTTTACCACCTTCTGCTTGCGCAATTGACCTCCGACTGCTTCGTCAATCTCTAGCATGGTTCCGGGCCGAGCCCACATGCTCTAATCCCGCTTGATCAAAGCAGACTTGACTGCAGATCTCATTACATGTCACCATCTGCCAGGATCTAACATAGAGATTTAAGCCATTCTCCTCATTACGGGATCCTACCCATGAGATGACGTAAACACAAAAAAGCGACCACAACGGTTGTGCCTGATTCGGGGTTGATGGCTTGTAGTTGGGTATCAGCCCCATTGCCCTAACAGTCACGAATTTTGGAACTACAAAAAGCACAACGACTGTTGATGCTGAGCAATACTCATTTATAGGACTGTCCGCGTATATCGGCCAACCCCACCTTTCCGAAGTCATGGGTTGTTCTCAAACTTATGGGCGCCTTTTGGTAATGGATCACCTAATGTTTAGGTGTACAAACAAGGGAACCTAATCTTTAAAACTACCCCTATGGCTTTTGCCGGCTGGTAAGTTCTGGACTCCCCTGTGCAAAAACTTTTGACAACCGTTTTCCTTGAGGGTTGTACGGTTAAGCTCCAGGGCAAAACTAAAAAACAACTGCCGCCTAAAACCCTACGTAAAACCACTCACAGCACTGGAACCTCCAGAGCTTCCTCTCGAGCTTTTTCGAGCGGTCGCTGCTCCTGGTGTCAGGGAATGGAAGATCAGGTACTGTAGGAGGCAGGCTTAGGGGTTAGAATCTCGGACTAAAGGATTTTGGGTTTAGAGTCCCCTCCTGAAGTAGATAGAATGTGGGGTATATATTCATCTTATTATAATATACCCACAGCCATATTCTATCAGCTTAAGGAGGACTATGGGGGTTTAGGGTTTACGGTTTGAGGCTCTGGGTCTGCTGTTTGGAGCTCAGGCTTAGGATTTGGGATAGTTGGAGGTTTGGGCTAGCCCCTCCCACTCAGACAGACATTGAACCCTACATAGCCCATATAGCCCCGCTTTCATAAGGACGGTACTCTTGACACGACATGTTCAAGCTCCATGTAAGCAGCGTTTTTGGTGCACCAGGTAACATAATCTTATCTAATGTACCATACCCATACTTAAAAAGGAAGATGTAATCTTGCTCTACATTATGTATGATGGTATCCCGCAGTAAAATACTACTCAATGTTAGTTTGGGGGCGGCTTGGCCTCCATGTCGTGCCCCCAAAACCAGGCTGCCCTGTCCATGGCAGAAGTATAAAACTGCTTCGAACATGTGGAGGCCAAGTTTGGAAACCCTCTCAAATCTACACACCGAAGCCCTGATCTTCCCAAACCCTAAACCCTAAACCCCCAAACCCTAGCAAGCCATGGACCCCAGCACTAAACCCTTTAAGGCAAAGCAAATATGTAGGATCCCAATTCTCATTTTCCGGCTTCCTTAACCTGAAAATGTCGAGCAAGACCCCACCACTATGCCATTGGAAAACACTATGCGTACCCCGCCAAAAAAACAAACAGACCCTAAACCCACCCCCCCCACCCCCCTCCAGCCTCGGCAACTCGTTGGAGGGCCGCACGAAGCTCTGCACAGTCCTCGCAGACATCTGGGTTGCTGTTAGGAACTTACTTTAAGCTACTATATTGGGGAAACCTTATTAATGACTATGTATACCGATTGTGGTCATTTAACTTCAGTTTCTTAACAGCAACCCAGACATAAGACCACACTTGGCCGTGCATCTGGAGATCAGGGCCTCAAAGTTTAGGGATTAGACTTCAGGGTTTTAGGGCTTTATGCTTTTAAGAACAAACAGTTTCGAGCTTGGGCTGTAGAGTTTAGCTTTTCAACTGAGGGAATGTCAAAAGGGCCACAATAAATGACACCCCGCCCGCTACTGGCTTGATGCAGCTCTGATCGCTGAATCTGAATGTCGAAGAACAAATAGTTACCAATTGTACAATCCTGAAATCATTGTATGATTATGTTCTGGGGTATCTCAACAAGACATCAAACATGAAATTGTTTTCTTTAGGCCCTGCATTGCACAATCCCCCTTGTAGAACCCCTAGAAAAGCCCGGTGTCCACTTCATGCTCCACATTTCCTCTTGCCCCTTTGATACTTCATTATTGGGGTTACATCTCCCAAGCCCTAAATCCTAAGTCCTTCCTGACAGCTAAAACTGGCTCCCTGCGCTATCAAACAGTCCGGTTCCTCAGCAAGTTCACATGGTTAAGATGTTTTGAAACTGATCGGTTATCAAAATTATGGTCCGTTTTGGTGTCCCCCAATATTCGGGTACTATAGTAGGGAGCTAACAGTAGACCATGATGTTGACAATCTAGCAAGTAGATTTACTATCCAGAGGTTTAGTCAAAGTCTATCTACCCTTTTTTCTATCCCAACAAACATGATTTCGTCGCCCTATCAAGGATAAACAGTAACCTCCATCTGCACATCTGAACTTGCATTCTGATGAGTGCCAGCGGGCCGACTTGTTCGTTTTCGGAGAATCGAGGTCTGTAGCGGAAATGTTTACTAGAGCTGACCGCACAGACCTTGGCAGCCAACAGGCCGTCTGATAGGAAAGGTTTATAGACCCCCTTAAGTAGATAGAATATGGGGTATATGGGGATCTGATTAAAATATTCCAAAGCCATATTCTATCTACTTAAGGGGGACAATAGGTTCCCAGCCCTTTTCGGGGTCCTATTTTGCTGAAGACAGGCCCTGTGCCAATCAGGTTCACACATTCATGCCGTCGAATCCCTCCTGATTATTACCTTGCATCCTAAGCCTCGTAGAATCCTATAACCCCCTATACCCACACCCTACACCTAAACCACAACCCTACCACACCCTACACCTAAACCACAACCCTACACACTAAGCCCCCTCAACGGGAGTCCTGGCCCAGCCGAGCTGTGTTTAGGCGTAGCGAGTCACCAAGGGGCCCCAGGGCTGCCTCGGCAAAGAGTCATGTAATGCCATCCCCATATAGTCCCTCTTAAGTAGATAGAATATTAGGGTTATATAGGGATAATGGAAAAGGACATGGAAACTACTATTTAGGGTTTAGGGTTTAGGGTCAAGGGTTTAGGGTATAGTCCCCCTTAAGAAGATAGAATATGGCTTTGGGTATATTTTCAATAAGATCCCCATATACCCCATATTCGATCTACTTAAGGGGGACTATAATGCTAAAGCCACCAATACCTTACCGCTATATAATAGGGGGAGCATACATTATTTGGGAGGGTGGGGAGGTTTGTGATTAGGAGGAGGGGATTACTGCTGGGAGTTTCAGGGTCTAGTGTAGGTCCAGGGATTCTTTAGGGTTTGAGGTCCTGGGTTTCTAGGGTTGACGTAAGGCTTAGGACTCGGGATTTGGTGGGGACTGTTCGGGGCGCAGGGGAATTGAGAGCTTCTCGAAGTTATGCGCTCCTGAGATTACACAAGCCCTATGAAGATGTGCAAGGGTCTACATATCTGGAAATCTGCGGGACAGATATGCCTGTATGGGAACAGGCACGATATGTTGGATAATTCAGGGAAACGCTAAGCAAGGCGGCTTCTTCCCCCGCCATTCGCCTTCAGTCGGGCCAATGCCAGGCGGGACCTGTTCCCCTGTTGCGGCAGGCTTCATATAGGCCCTAATCCCTTCTAATAATGAACCTCCCCACCCCGCTGACAGAATGAATGCTCTTGCCACGATGTAATGGTACTACATTGGGGGCACTGATCATGAGGAGTGAGGAGTTCATTACGGGGAGATGATGAATCATCGTCTTCATGGTGCGAAAGCCGGATTAGCTTGCTCCCGGCACGTACAGCTGGCCGTACCCCCAAAATGTAGGCTTTGCTACGAGGCTTTCAGAAAATCAGCTCAAATTGTTGAACGACCTCGTTTCTAAATAGATAGACAAAATCATTCCAAGTTGCGACTCTTTGCTTGAAGGGATAATGAGAGCCTGGTGGATTCTCCTTGGAAAGCCGTCTGAAGAACCTCCATTTCGCCATCCGAACTGTAAAGACCTGATGGAAGCTGCGGACGTGTTTACCTATGAATCTACAAGCAGTTAATGGAACAGGCAGTCAAAGCCCTTGCCCTTGCCAACCTCATCCAAGAAGCTCAACAACTCCCAAACCCACGCCTCCTAATCCCCGAGACCGCCGAACCGTTAAAAACCGAAAAGACAACTCTGACATCTGGAGGCTGGACCCTGAACCCCAGCGCCAAACCCTGAAGCCCTGCACCGTTTCAGGGTGCCTTCCGCTTCTCCTCCTGAAGACATCGCTTCGTCTCCTGGCAAGCAAGAAGCGTTTGAGCTTTGGAACTTGGAGCTTACTTGGGGTTTGAGGCTTTCCGAAAAGGCGCACTTAGCTTGCTCTACGACCTGCGGGAATTTGTACTAACGTACTGTAAGGAGCCTCATAAGAAACGCTATGTCTGCTCCTAGCGGTTCTCATGAAGTCGATGGTAGCGTTTGTGATGCATGGCCTCTAAGCTCAGGCTTTCGGAGTAGCGAGTGGGGTTTCGAGCTTAGGGTTAAGCTCAGATATAAGTTTTTGGCTTGCATTGGTTCAGGGCGTAGCTCAAAGGCCAAAAGCTCCGGAGGTCGCGGTGCTTTTTTAAGATTCACAACGTTGCGACCCCACCAGCGCATCGTCTTAATTCGCAGTTTCCGTAAATAAGGGGACCTCGGCGGAGGGGTGTTCTAGGGGAACCGAATATAGACCGCAACAATTCCGGACCCCCAGAAAGGTACACCTAATTTTGGGAAATCCTAAACCCGAATCCCTAAACCAAAGCCCTACATATCCCTGTATACCCCTAAATAACCCCTATGTTCGCTGACGAGGGGCCCTAATTCGGGGAAACCCCCAAATGCCTGAAGTTCAGTCTCGAGCTCACTGCAGCGCACCTGGCGCACAGCTAAATAGGTACACTACAAAGGGTTTAGGATTGACGGGTTTAGGGTTCAGGGTAATGATTGGGGTTTGGCGTTTAGGGTGGGGGCTTTAGGGTAATGATTAGAATCAAATGGAAAAGACTGTGGAACATAGAATGTAAACTGGCGTTGTATAGCGGCTTATAGGGAGTAGATTCTACAAATCCAGCATGGTTCTAGTTGCCTTCTACATTTGCAACTAAGGTACCGTGGTAGAATGATGACATGCATCCACTGTAGGACGTGTTGGTGCCTATGGGTCATGATTTGGATTTCCTCTGACCTAAACACACTTGGGCACTTGGTGATTCGATGTAATTGTAAGACTGAACGCAGCACGACCAACCAAAAGAGCGAAAATGAGTGATTTGTTGAACGGGACCTGTTTGTTTGGCAGCATTGGGAACGTCAGGGATGTAGAGAGTCATCAGAGATGAGCAAAAAACATCACAAGGATCCCGGGATTCCCTGATGGGGCGGAAAATGGGCTATCATAGGTTGCATTGCAAGGTAAAACAAGGGCAAGTGCTGCATTACCCACACATGCAAAACTGCAAACCGAAGTGCGGCACGAAGGTGACCTTGGCGTCTCCCTAGGGTTTAGGGTTTTAGGAAGCTACAAACACCCTGTCCCAAGCGACCAGGGGACTTGAAGAGAGGTCCCTTGGCAAACTACTGTCCTGGAAAAATGGGGCTATATGGGCCATTGTCTAAACTCCGAGTATCGCCCTTAATAACGCTAGGGTTTAGGGATTAGGATTTAGGGCTTGGGGGGTTAGGGTTTAGGGGTTTAGGGTTTGGGGTTTTGTGAAACCTCCGAAAACCATAAAATCCTACTGTTTACCAAAATCCCCTAACCTGCTTGATGCGGCTGAGCTTGCCTGGGTTTCATAGGTCCCTCAACCGTAAACCCCCAACCACAAGACTCAGGAACCCAGAAGCATGAACCCCGAACCTTCTACATGTAGACCCTCAACCCTACACCTTGACCTCTCCAATCAAAAAAGTCCAAAACCCTCTACCCAAGTGACTAAAAACCTTCAACCCTCAGCCTTGAAAACTAGACGCCCTCAAATATCAACCCTTGACTTGTTAAACCCCGACCCTTCATGCAGATAGCCACACGCGACTAATCCGAGATCCGCACTCTTTCTGCGGCAATTCGCTCCTCTAGTTGGTGGCTCTCCTCCTCGCAAGGAGCAAAATACCAAACTAGGGGCCAGAACGCACGCCTGAAAACTCTACGCAAAAGCTGTGGATCCGACCCTGGCGGCTGTTGGAAAAACCTCGGGCTTCTGTGAATTACGTTGCTTCGCTCTTGGCTCCCAAACTTTCTTGATGCAACCCCCTGTACGATGGGGGCGCATTATTTCAATTAGCAGCCCTCGATGATGATCCTCGCTGCCCAAGTGTCAAGCATTGCAGACCGAAGTTACAAGAATCCATGCAGTGATGGCGGATAGCGAACGTCATGAGACACGGCGGGTCCGTTGTGAGAGCGCCGCAGGTTCCAGGCCCTGGGATTGTGTTCCATCCCCGATACTTTCCTGGCAGTTGAAACCCGCATCTAGCGCCCATTCCGACGTGAAAAACAAAGTTCTTGGGTTTTGGACCTCCGGTGAGTAAAAAGTATACTGCTTCATGAGTACAAGCCTCGCTAGGCCAGATCTCATGCATCAAGCAGCGGCCTTGCGTCACAGGGCATTCTTAAACAAGTTGAGTGAATCTGAACAAGCATGTGCAGGCCTACATCCTTCACAGTCCACAAAACTGCCCGAAAAGGGACATCTTTGGGGTTGGATGTACTCCAAGAGGCGTGTCAATCAAACTGTTGCATGGCTATCCCATTGCTTGTGCCTACTTTTTGTGATCCGCCCGAACCGTAGCCTTCAACCTCAAAACCCAAACCCCAACCCTACACCCTAAACCCCAACCCCAAGACCTCATCCTGTCCTGCCGCTGTTGGGCAGCACGGGCCATGGCGGCAGAAAGCGCGACGTTGGCGGCGGTGGACGCCTCAGATGATGTTTACCAAGGTTGGGGGGTGACAGCCCCTTGCCTATAGAACTGTCACCTAAAGGGGGCGTATAGGGGTTATATGGGGGTATACAGGGACATATAGGGCTTAGGTGTCAAGATTAGGGTTTAGGGATGTTTAGGGTTTACCAAAATTAGGGGAGAGATTTCCGGACCTTACAGAGTTACGGGCCCTACAGAACTTGAATGCTTACGGCTCTATAGTGCAGGTACAAGGACTGTGGTCCGTGCTCATTTAAAAATACACCCAAGAATATCCCAGTTGAGTAGTGTTTCTTGGTGGTTAAACCCAGTAAGATTATATTCCTTGTAGAAAATACTATACCCCAAAAGGAGGGTATAATCTTACTCTATAATGGGTACCATAGTATCCCCAAATAAAATACTACTCAACTGAAGGTGTAGAGGGGGCTAGGGTTCAGGGGTCTAGGGTTTAGGGTTTTAGGGCTTTAGGGTTC